CGGGCGCCAGCTCTGAGAAAGCGTAACGACACTGACTAAAAGCCAAAGCCTCTTAAGCCCTGCTCGGTAGTGTAGTGGTGAGGCCACCCGCCTAGCGCGCAGGAGGACCCGGGTTCGAATCCCGGCTCATGGAGCGTAGTTGCTCCAAGCCCCGGGGTGGGGGCTTATGGGGGAGGAGGGGTGGGCTGCCCCTTTTCTGCCCTGCTGTGTTCGCACTTTTTGCCCCCCTGTTCCATTTGCTGCTGCTTTGTTGGATGTGGCAAGGGGGCAGGCAGTGGGGAGAAGATCGGTGTCTTTCACAGCTCAAATTTATTGCTCATTCGCCTCCTCGCACTTTCTTGCTAATAAACTCACCTGATTATTTAAGCACAACCTGTTCTCTCCATCACCTGTTTTCCTCCTCGTTCCTTACCTCAACTCATCAACCCTTGTCTTAGTTTTTTGTTTTTTCCCCTTCACTCTTCTCTACCCACTGTGGTGGTGGTGGTGGTGGTGGTGGTGGTGGTGGTGGGGCACAGCAAATAAGCAGGTGTTGTGGCTGCCTGCCTTTTGGACAGCGTTCTCTCACTGTTGGCCACACAGCCAACACAAAAGAATAGGTGCAAAACACACAAAAAAACAGAAAGAAAGAAGGACTTCATTGTGGGACAAGCCTCTTTTATCCACTTTAACAACCAGTGCATACATTTGTGTCAAACATACATTGCTCACTGAGGCTGGCACTTTCTACTCAACAGCATAGGATCACTAGGTTTGCAAGAGCCACAGTATTAGTCATGTTTTTAATTGTAAGCCACCTGCATGATCAATTCTACATTCCAATCTTCTTTTTCTCAAGACGGCCAAGGACGTGACGTTTTATTCCCATGCAAGCTGTTAACACTCCCTACATCTCCCCCTTTTTGTGTAATTATGAGAAAGGTTCAAGTAATGAATGCCGTAACAGTCTGCACCTGTACAATCATTATCTTAGCAAAAGTAATACCGATCATTTATTGAACACGAACACAAGATAAAATGCACGGGGTAYATATCACAATCCATCAGAACCCATCAAAACCACCATGCCACTGATRAAAGGTCCCACAGCATAGGAAACCAACAGGAAGGAGGAGAACTGCTTCTTCTACACTTGGAAATCAGTGGCTACTGTTCCASASCTCAAATGGCCAGAGCTCCGGGGACACGCAGTTAAGGCAGGAGCCCATCAGCTGGCAATGCTGACTCTGACATTACTGAATGTCTTTCAGCAGAAACACAACAAGCTTGGTAGGCCAAGAAGGTGTTCTCTGGGGCTCATGCCACTCCCGCACGGCACATTAAGATGTCAGTTCTTTCTTGTAGTTGCTTCAACATCCTTCGTGTGATCTCTGGGTTCACTCACGTGCTGATGGCTGGTGTCGCGTCTTTGCCTGGGGTATCACGGTGTTGAACTGGTCTCTCTGGTACGGTTTTAYCAGGTGASCAGGCACCGCCTTGGACCTGTCAGTGATGGAACACAAGCATGCCCTCTCCCCAGGGTTAGTAAATCATCAGGGCCTCACTATTGCACACCCAATTGTAGAGTCTTACATAAAACTTTTGGAAATTGGTTCTGCACATGCAAACCTTCAGAACACTATCACCCTGGCAGGGATCAGAATTGATGATCTGTGTCTGAAAAATGTACTGTAAATATCACAGTATCTAATTTGTCTAGAGGGGTAATGCTCCCCCTTTCTSTATTAATAACATGCGCTTCTGTTAGTATGAACATCAACACAGAGCAAAACAATACAGGTAACAAAGTAATAAGTTCAGCACGTGCTCAGTGTTAGCACCAAGCAAAAACAAATAAGGCAATACATGCAATCAGTACTACACCAGTGAAAGGATTGTGATTTAGAAAGATCCATTTATCAATTGCCTAAACACTTCCCCATTGCCCAGGGTCTGCAATAGCTGCCTAGCCCCATTTCACAGGTACAATCTGGAAAACCTTTCCCGGACAAAGTTTCCAAGTTTACCCTGAAGGGGTTCCAGCTTTGATAAGCCCAAATTGGCAAGTCAAAGTGACTTGATTACATTTTTAGTGCAGAAACACSTGGGTCTGTTGGCACTTCCCAACCAGCCAGGGCCASGGCTTGGCCAGAGCCTAGGCCTCAACTGGGAGGGATTCCCTAAAATATCCTACAATCAGGCTTCTAAGAATCCGAATTCTGAACGCTTCTTAAAATTGTACATTTCTTGCAGATAATTTCCATTTCTATACACCTTAACAACTCATGTTCTTAAACCATTGCTCACCCATTTCCATGAAAATTGTTTCCGTGGGTTTCATCTTCTCTCTATAACAAAAGAACTTAATATTTCATTTTAAATGAACAGATTAGAACAAAATTTAAACTTAATTTCATTTAAACTTAATGTCATTCAAAAGCAACATCGTCTAAACTTCACATCACTGAACAAAAATTACGTCTGACAGAGCTTAAACTTATCAGAACATAAATGTAACTTCACTAAAACTTAACTTCAGTTTAACAGATCTGAAAATCTACAGACCTCAAACTTAGCACCATTTCAGTTTAATAAAGGTTACCACGTAATGACACTTACTAGGTAGCTGAAGCTACTCAGCAATTGATTAGCTTAAAATTTACTATAACACAGTAGTAACTCAGTTACAGGCCTCAGTGACAAATGTAAAATACCTCAAAAGTATCTTACTTGCTGCAGCACTTTCACACACACACACACACACACACACAAAGAGTCCATTCAAGGTCCACCCGTGGCAAAAGCTTACCTTGAATTCAGTGAAGCGGACACTTCGGACACCTTTGCATCTCTTCAGTGGATACCCTGCGTAACACCTAAAATGTAAGCAAACTAGATTCAAAGTTGAGAGTGTTACTTTCAGAGTTTCAGGTACAACACTCTTAAGTCATTGACTTCACTGTTACAATAAAGCAACTGAAAATCTGTCACAACAGGTAAACATCTATGAGCAATATGCAAGCTCCTTTTTATCTTTTTTCTCATCCTTTCTTTTTCCTTTCTCACTCTCCCTTCTTTTTTTTTTTTTTTTGGAAACAAATCACAGAGTTGTAAATTAAATAGCAGCAACATGCAGCTCTACCAATTGACATCATTTAGTTTACAGGATAGCTAATGGTAGCTGTAAGCATTCTTGAAAATGCCTGTTCATTGTCAGTACCTTTCCAGTATTAGTTTACCAGGATTTTTCAAAGTGCAGCGTTACTCAGAGATATTAAAACATTGTATTTAAAACATGCACAGCTCAGAGATGCTAGGACAGGTTCTAGTAATTGTCATTACAACACAATTGAAATACAAACACTTAAGGATATAATTAGATAATACTGCCATGATTTCTCCACATGTAACTTTGTGAGTTCAGTGGGAGGCTAAGACCAAGGCACGCACCTAAGCAGCCACAGTCAGCCCTCACCAACCTCAAAGGAATGAGCTACTGCATACCACACTGTTCCCTTTCTCCACAGAACAGAGGGCATCAGAAACTCGGCCACTGTGCAGAGAGCACAACACTTATGGGCAAAATCCCTTCCATGAGATGCTGTCACTTTTAGTCATTTTGTAGTGGTTTAAAATGCTCTCACATGTATGTTCATGGCAAAATAATCACCTTCAAATTTTCTGATTAAAGCTGTACAAGCAAACAGGTAAAACCAGCACTATTCTGTATGGTGTTACAGTAGAGAATCTCAAGTGAATCATATCCAACTCCTGAACAGCTTCCACAGAAAACACTCAAGGACTTAGGTCCAGCATGGCCTGACACACTTATTTGTTCATAGAAACT